GCGGGACACCGTTGTGCCGGTGTTGAGTGTGACCCGGCCGGCCGCCGCTGGTTTAGCCTGGCCGCCAGATGGCCGTGTGCCCGTGTGAGGGTGTATGGGCGCCCCTCACGCACCGGCTAGTAGAGCCACCACCACTCACGAGGCCAAGCATCCCTCCCTGCCCCCACGAGCCCTCCCTTGGGATGTACGAGCGACCACTGGATACACACTGTCCCCGGTACTCAAGAGTCGTGCTGCTATTACCGTAATCATCATCGCCTGAACTTTTGTAGGGGGTCTCCTCCGAGAGTTAATCTCACGTGCTTTAAAAAAATAAATATTGAAGCCATCCTCTAGTGAAAAAAATATGTTCCGAGCATTGCGGTTTTAAAGTTCCGGAGCTTTATTAGTCAAAGTGAAATGCTAATCAAGTGATTCCAAGTCGTGGTTCTTTAGTCGACATGTTGCTCTTTCCGTAATTACCACCAGTGTCATAGCGTTTACAACCTCACAGCGTCACCTCGGTTGTTTTGCTTTCTCGTATTTTTTTCATGGAAAAAATTGGAGGAAACGGGGGGGGGATGTTTGAGGGTGAATAAAAACAATAGAACATTCTGCCAATTTCAGGGGTTTCGATTAAATGAGAAGTACAGCATCTGCTTGATACATCTGACTTGGTTGTTCTGGGCTGACCTTAATTAATTTTTTCCCCGTGTAATTTCGTCCAAGGCCCGCATTTGCTCGAGTGTTTTAAAGCTCTCGGACGAATTTACGAATTATTGGTTTTATCAATATCGGGACATATGTTGGACGAAGTGCAGTAAGTAAAGTCATGAAAGTCATTGATGTACCAATTTGATATTTCTAATGCCCGCAGAAGTATATGCCGTTCCTCGTCTAAAATGCAAGGCTTGTGTTTGTGTTCAAACTACATGTAGGGGGTCTATATTGTCAAATTAAAAAAAAACGAGCTCTGGGAACAAGAAGGAACTTCAAAAAGAGAACAGAGCTATGTCTGTTTCTGGATTTTGTGCTAGTCCAAAGTGAAAATGTTGGATTGTTCATTAATTTATTTGTCTCTCACCGGCAGACCTTAAGACCTTTTCGAAAAAGGGCTAAAGGTCCTAGATCAGTCATGCTATTATTGGAAGAGGTAACGGTAATTATTATAGAGCTAGTCTAGCACACACACACACACACACACACACGGTCCTAGATCAGTCATGCTATTATTGGAAGAGGTAACGGTAATTATTATAGGAGTCAATGGTTGGAGCCCGATAGGTTTGATCTTTAATGTCTGGTTCAACGTATTTGTATCTATACG